TGAAAATTTAATCCAATATCCCACATAAAATCAGGAAGAAAATGTCCCACTGGAGACTCATACACTCCTCCTCACCCTCCATTTTCATCCGTCTGTTCTCCTACCCCATTTCCCTCATCTTCCACTGCTCTTCACATTTCTGGGATCACGTTTTCAAAATCTAATTTAACTTCTTTGACAGGATATTGTGGGGTATTTTCAACTCTCTCGTTTGTAAAGGCACTTGGCGCAGCTCTCAACTCCACGAATACAATCCAAATTTGTGGAACTCAACTTCAATGTACATACTCCCTGAATTCACTGGTGAACAGCAATCAAGCACACGTCCCATGGTTTTCCGAAATGGCTGAGAAAAATTAATTAATTGGAACATGTGAGTAAACAGGTGTGTCTGAACACTCTCTCGGTGATCACTTGTCGACAAACGATTCTCGTACCCGCCTCTTCAGGTTGTGGCGAATAATCAATCAATCAAATCCCCATCCATTTGCATACTTTATACGTGACTCATGAGTGCTTTGTAAGAACAGGGTTCATTATTGATTAAAGTGACATTTGCTTTCTGGTGGGAGAAGACACTTCACTTCGTTCATTTTTATTTTGGCTGAAATTTTTAGTGCATTTCTTGAATATTTTCATCTAGTGATTCTGCCAGTGAAAATTCATGATTTGGCGGAAAAATCAATGGAAACTGTACATTTCAGCTCTATTATTCTACGAAAATTGATGGAATTCATGAAAATACAGGATAATTTGATACTACGTATTTGTGTTTTGATTGAAAATTCATGTAAGTGAAGGATTTTTCGTCAACGGCGTGACACTTCTGGGAGCGTTTATCATATTAGAGTACCATTGATGTTTGAAGAAATTTCATCATTAAAAATTCAATTAAAGAAAAAATAACATCGAAAATTGGAAATTTCACGTCAGTTATTCTTGTAATTTCAATTGATTGCGTAATTTGCGACTGAATATTCATATTTCAACCGAAAATTCAAATAAATTAGGAGATTCTCATCTTCCTCATGTTGAAAAATCTTAAATTTCATTAATATCAAAATCTACTCTCCAACAATGAATTAATCCTGCCGCCGATGCTGGAATAAATTTCCGAAGCGGTCCAGCCTTTCACCCCATCGCGCACTGTTGAGATCGCCCGAGCCACCGGGGAATCGTTTACACAACCTCGTCAAAGTTGCAGCGTAGGCGGCCGAAGAGTTCTGGCACACAATATTCTTCTCGGATCAATGGAGCCTCCCAGTCCTCCTTAACTATGCTACGGTCGCCCGGACTGTGGCCTCCCCCGTCCTCGCCCTTCGTGTTCTTTTCCATGTTACAGAACTGCATAAACCATTGATTCAGTGTCTGCGAGAATTCTCAAGGAGGCAGTGAGCTCCTTCTTCATGCACCTCCAGCCAACATCGAATTCGCTCTGTCGCTCTCCCCCTTGTTCCACCCCACGCATTCATTTATTCCAGTTGTCCACCCTCTCACTCGGATGTACACCGTTGAATTCAGGTCGTTTTTACATTCCTCGATACCTCCCCCCGGCATTCCACTGTTGCACACCTTTTCAGCTGCGCAAAACCCCATCCAAGGTCTGCGTGACTGTTTGCGCACGTGCACGCAGAGAGCATCGAATATTTTTATCATGAAAGTGAGTGAAGAGGACTGCTGCTCATACATATCTGCACACTTGGAATACGAGGCTGTTATTTTAATTGTTGGGTCGGAGGCTTTTCCAGTACAATGGGCGAAGGAAATAGATGATCATGAGTGCGTGATTGCTCCCTAGGGATACGTTTCGCGGGGCTAAATTGCTCTCTTCAAATTGCGAAATTTAAATTTTCACAATAGTCCGGGAATTACAATGTTTAATCATGCTTCAATGATTGGAGGGAAATTGAAAATATTTGATACGAGGGAAAAAATCATGAAAACTGCATTTGTAAATTGTTATTTCCACTGTGGCAATGGTTTTATTCAATTTTTTTTATGAAGACAATGACGAATGATTTTTTTTTCATTATCTCTCAAAAATTTTGAATATCTGGAGTGATATTGCTAACTTTGGCAGGGATAGCCATCAATATTAAATTTCATTAGTATTACAGGAATTTGCAACTTACATTGATATAGGTTTAAATATTCTCATCAAAATATAAAAATAGTGTGAGGTTAATAATTCAAATATTTGATAATATGGGACTGAAAATTTTCCCTTAAGTAAATAATTGGAATTTCTTAAAAGGGGTTACCCATTGACCAAATAATCAGCAATCTTCCTACCCAAATTATTAATTAATAAAATAGTTGGAATTTGAATATTTAAATTGATGATTACTAAAATAGTTAAAAATTTAAGAGTGATGTTAACTAAATCACAGCTTCAAAATTTAACGGTAATTATGGTTTCTGAATATGGCTATCCCTGAACGTTGGGTTGGTATAATACTCCTACAAGAGATAAACACTTTTATCACTCCCGACACACGAGGTAAATCGACTCTTCAGTTGAACGGCAAAATTTAGAGGCGCATCATCTTCATCGCTCCCCGATGGTGAACCAATATGTACCGCCTATAATTCTTTGGCCATCGAGGAGTGGAATTTACAGCCCGCTCAGAGCTCCAGGCGTCTCATTCCCGATTAGATATCATTCCATACATCCTCTATTTCGTACATAGGCGGATTGGATTACTTCGTGATTTCCGCATTCTCGATTCCTTTGTTTCCTTCATTCCGCGAAACGAAGACATATGAATGGCGGATATTTATTGCTCTATCTGCTGCAGCGGGTGATTTAACGGGAGACGAGAAATACGAACGAAATCCCGGCCAATTTGTTCGTCGCAAAGAGCACGCGAACCCCTACGACTCTTCGGATCAATCAATTCCTCGCGTCCCAACGAAACGTCCCGTGGTAGCAATTCCCAATCCCCAAGACTACTGGACTTATTGATTTTTTCTTCCTCAATGTTTTTATTCAACTTTTTTGGTGAAATAAAAATGTAGAGAGGAGTTCACACAGACTCCGGGTGAATTACGAGAACCTGCTCAACAGGAACGAGTCTTCATGTTTTTATTGAAAATTGTTACTGAAAAATTTAGAATTTTGTTGGATTTGCAGTGAAATCTGAAATTTCATGATCTTTCCAACAGTAAACCTCAATGGTAAAATGAGTCATCAATTGTTTTCATTGATTCATTGAAATTGGCTATTGACTTGAGACAATCTCACATTATAAATATCTCTGAAATTTTGAGGCATTTCGTAATTGAAAATTAAAAATGTTAAGGAAAGGTCAGTGGAGAAATCAAGAAAATTCATTTGCATATGCTCTTAAATGTTCAATTAATTGAATATTCAGTGTAATTGAGCGCTACGACTCTGCGAATCAATGAATGCCTCATGTCTAGCAATTCCCAGTCCCCAAGAATGGACTCATTGATTTTTTCTTCCTCTCCAGTGTTTTTTCTATACTTCCTCTTCAAAATAAATAAAATGTAGAGAGGAGATCGCACAGACTGCGGATGAATTACGAGAACTTGTTCAGCGCGAACGAGCCATCATCTTTTTGATGAAATTTGCAGCTACAAAACTTGGTATTTCGGAAAAATTTCGAATTTTGTTAAATATGCAGTGAAATCTGAAATTTCATGATTTTTCCAACAGTAAACCTCAATGATAAAATGAGTCATTAATTCTTTCCATTCATTCATTGAAATTCACTATTGACTTGACCCCTATCTCACATTATAAGTTCCTTTCAAATTTGGAGGCATTTCGTAATTAAAAATTAAAACTTTTAAGGAAAAACAGGAAAAACTGTAAATTTGAGTTGAATTACTATCGGAAAATGAGTAGAAATCAGAAAAATTCAATTAACTGAAAATTCAGTCTAATTGACCCCTACGACTCTGCCAATCAATCACTCAGCGACTGTCTCATGTCCCGTCCTAAAAATTCCATCGCCAAGAAAGCACTTATGGATTTTTCTTCCTCCCCAGTGTTTTTTTTAAACTTCCTCTTCGAAACAAAAATATAGAGAGGAGTTCGCACAGACTGCGGACGAATTACGAGAACTCGCTCGCCGGGAACGAGTCACTGGGGATAAAGTAATGGAAGGTATACGTAGGGTACCTCGTAATTATCGACTATGAATAAATTCAAAGCGCTACGGAGAAACAGCGTCGCACCATCGGAGATGGCTTACAGCACGGGAGAATGCTGTGTAAAGTTTGATCATACCGTAGGATGCCGGTGTTTTGTTACCAGTAATTACACATGTTCTCCTCGTCTGTGAATCAATATTATAGTGCGGTATTGTGCGAGTCTTAATCACAATATCCCGGGAAATGACGAAAATATTGAGTGATGAATAGGTTTTCGGAGGGAAAATGAGCCGTGAGTGCAGTTGTGGGTAAACTTTGAGTGTGTTCGTGATGGAGGACGGTGGGAATGCGTTACCACGACTATTATATTCCCCGATACAATCCTGTTGCATTCTGCATTCAGTGCCATGCGGTTATGGGCCAAAGTCGGTTTCACAGCACGTATCTGAGCTGCAATTTGGTTGGACGGGGCATTAAAGTGGCTGGACCATCATGTGTTCGGGGAATGATAGTACAAAGGCGGATGGGTAATATAGCTTTGCGTACCTCAGTCTTTGGGTGCAATCTGGGGGCTGTTCACTGACGATGGAAGGTTAAAAGTGCGGAGCACAGCTTCACTCGCATGCACACGGAGAAATTTTTTTGGTGAATTTCAACAACTAGTTGGTGACACAACCACTAATTAATTAATTTCGAATTCTTAATCACGAAGTTACGTAAAATTTGAATCAGAAAAATTTCAAGTTTACGGGAATTTTGAGCCAAAAATTTTTAAAAGTGTTATCTATAAAAAGCAGAGAGCTTGAACCTCTAATTCGCTAAATTCAATTAATTTTATTTATCTAACTAGTTGGTGAGAGCTTACAATTAATAATGAAAGGATGTCTTGGATACAAGATATCGCTATAAGGTTTCACAATAATCTACAATTTGTTGTTAAATTTAAGGCAGTGTCTGTTTACACGCTCCACGGTAACTGACCGTGGATATATGGGACGTTTTTCCGTAGATTCAAGGTAAAGTTTACCGTGGTTATATGGGAGATCGTGGACCCTCAACTTCTACTGCTCAAATTAAATCTAGACAATAAACTAGACACATCGAATCAATTGATAAGTGATATGCAGGCAGTAGACTAGTAAATAACTTTTTCAAAATATTAATTCGTTCAATGAGTTTTAAGTGAATTTTTTCTCTGGTATAATCCATGGGATCATTACAAACATTTAATTTAAGACCTTATATTTTCTTTCATCAAGTTAGCTAATTTCTCTCAAGTAGTTATTCAGTTTCCCTCAAACGTTATTGCTACATCCTTATTTATGTGATGGAGAAGTTGGAGTGAATATAACGACAAATATTGACGATGCTGTCTCATCTTCTTTTCAGAAAGCAATTGTGGAGCTCATGAGAGGGCGCTCCTCAACAATCTCCTGGCCAAGTACAACACCCTGGAGCGACCAGTGGCCAATGAGAGTGAGCCGCTGGAGGTCAAGTTTGGCATCACGTTACAACAAATTATTGATGTGGTGAGTTTCAAAGATTTGTTTATCAATGTTTCATGCTAGATTAATTCTGTAGGTACAGGCTTGAATCCAACAATTTGCAAATATTTGGGTTTGCGTTGAGTGCAGAAATTCATAGGGCTACCGGGTGCTCGAAACTCCTCGCTTGATTCGTCTGTGCGGTGCATGGCTATTCGAAAATTGACTATTTTCAATGCATGGCGGCAGAAGTTTAATGAATACATTGAAAATTCGCGTTGTAGTAGGCGATTTACTGGACGAGTTTTAGATAATTTTCAGATGGATTCACAATTTAGGTAAAAATTTGGAATTCGGTCGAGTTCCCGAGTCGAAGAATTGGACCTGACAAATTCTACTCAGGTCTTTCCGTTCAGAACTGGATAGGTCTTGGGAAGCCTCTTCCCAAGTGCTTCCGAGACCTTTCTACCTCTGGTTATGTCCCATTTAAGCACTGGTTAGGTGTAAGCAGGAATTGCATTCAGACTTTCCAAATCCTTGCCGGTCCCCGTAATTCTATGGGCCTATATTAAATCTGCGTTCATATCCCTGTTTACTCATGCGTTATTGAAATAAAAAATGCAATTATTGTTTTTTTTTAATCTCGAAAATCGACATTTCACGGGAGGGTGGAGGGGAGATGCATGTATGCGGAGGCTTGACATTTTTACCCAACAAGCGGAGAAGGTTGCAGAATCTATTCTAGCCACTCTTGCCCCTCCGCTTGCATGCATTGTCCAAATAAAAAAAGAAAGTGTTAACAAATCTGACCCTTGTTCCAAGTAAAAACCGAAAATCTGACCCTGTGGCCCCCGGTGAATTTTTTTTTTCAGTTTTCACTTTTTCCACATACTTTTGATAGTTCTGAATAGCCCGTCGCGTAAATAGTTGGAATCAACGTTCACCCGGCTAAAAAATTCGATTTTGGCGAAAATCCACTTGCCCCGGAAAACCCGAAAATCTGACCCTTTGGCTGGGGCCAAAAAAAACGGTTTCTCATTTTTCACTTTTTCCACATACTTTTGATAGTTCTGAATAGCCCGTCGCTTAACTAGTTGGAATCATCGTTCACCCGGCTAAAGAATTCGATTTTGGCGAAAATCCACTTTCCCCGGAAAACCCGAAAATCTGACTCTTTGGCTGGGGCCAAAAAAAACGGTTTCTCAGTTTTCACTTCTTCCACATACTTTTGATAGTTCTGAATAGCCCGTCGCTTAACTAGTTGGAATCAACGTTCCCCCGGCTAAAAAATTCGATTTTGGTGAAAATCCCCTTGCCCCGGAAAACCCGAAAATCTGACTCTTTGGCTGGGGCCAAAAAAAACGGTTTCTCAGTTTTCACTTCTTCCACATACTTTTGATAGTTCTGAATAGCCCGTCGCTTAACTAGTTGGAATCAACGTTCCCCCGGCTAAAAAATTCGATTTTGGTGAAAATCCCCTTGCCCCGGAAAACCCGAAAATCTGACTCTTTGGCTGGGGCCAAAAAAAACGGTTTCTCAGTTTTCACTTCTTCCACATACTTTTGATAGTTCTGAATAGCCCGTCGCTTAACTAGTTGGAATCAACGTTCCCCCGGCTAAAAAATTCGATTTTGGTGAAAATCCCCTTGCCCCGGAAAACCCGAAAATCTGACTCTTTGGCTGGGGCCAAAAAAAACGGTTTCTCAGTTTTCACTTCTTCCACATACTTTTGATAGTTCTGAATAGCCCGTCGCTTAACTAGTTGGAATCAACGTTCCCCCGGCTAAAAAATTCGATTTTGGTGAAAATCCCCTTGCCCCGGAAAACCCGAAAATCTGACTCTTTGGCTGGGGCCAAAAAAAACGGTTTCTCAGTTTTCACTTCTTCCACATACTTTTGATAGTTCTGAATAGCCCGTCGCTTAACTAGTTGGAATCAACGTTCCCCCGGCTAAAAAATTCGATTTTGGTGAAAATCCCCTTGCCCCGGAAAACCCGAAAATCTGACTCTTTGGCTGGGGCCAAAAAAAACGGTTCCTCCGTTTTCACTTTTTCCACATACTTTTGATAGTTCTGAATTGTTAGAAAATACAGAATCAACTTTCACTTGGCGAAAAAATTAAATTTTGGCGAAAATCGACTTTCACCCTTGACCCACGTGAAAATGAAAATTTTTTTTTCCCTTTTTCTGTCCCCTCCGAGGGTTTCATTGGCATCCGGAGGTCAATAAATACAGAATCAACGTTCACTATTTTGTATTTAAACACCGGTCTGATGTTCGACTACAAAAGTAGAGGTATCTACCTGGAGAAAAAATAGCCAAAGTACTAGGATACCCTCAATGCCGCTCTCCTGAACATTACTAGTCGATTGTCCACGAAATTTCAATTTTTTTCTAACAATGTGTACAATTTAAATAAAATCTGCGAGGTTTCCCTCCACTATTCTAAAAATTCTTTCTCCCTTCAACATTTTCTCATTCGCGTAATTTCCCGCGCCATTAATTTATCCGCAAATTCTTCCCAGTGCTCAATCATCATTCCTGAAATTTCATTCCAACTTACACTCTGTTAGACCCGACTTACCACCGTCGTTCATCAGTGCTATGTAAAGTATTGATTCGGACAGTTGGCTCTCGACTACCGATAACTTTCAAAACACTTTGAGAAAGTACCTTCGGCTCCCCAAAGTTCGATGATGAGTAAGATTGAACAGCCGGTGTGCGACGAAACTCGGCTGAATCTAGAAATACTGATTAGCATAAGTTCAATACGGATTACGCAGAAGCCTCGGGTCACGCCGGAAGACTGAATCATCTGGTGTCTCCATTCACCCTTCAGCCCCAATACTCATTAAAATAAAGTCATTTCCATAATGTACCATGCTTGAGGAGATGTCCAGCACTCGCCCAAGAATTTTACAGCCCTGCACTAATTAGCCCTCGTCCTTTGAACTTTTTTCCGAGTTCCCTCCTCTCATTATTGCTCATTTATAATCCCCGTTCCCCACATAGGAGATAATTTTCGAAACTCTGACGAGCCAAATGAATTTTAAATGAAGTCACCCTAAAACCTTCAACTGCAGAAGCGAAATATTGAATGCTCTCGCAATTAGTATTCCGAAATTTCACAATCCAATGAACAGAAAGTCCCCGTTGATTTTTATTTCAATTAAATAAAGCCTCTTTTGAAGAGAAATATTTGAATCAACATTGACTATACATTTTTTGACAATACAGACAAGAACAATGAGCATTTCCTCCCTGCCCGTTTCCATTCATCGTCTGAGCCAATTTTGACGTACCAGGAGAAGAAGGGAAATATTTGTCACAGGTCAACATCATGAACATTCCTCGCAATGTAGGTCAAAATTACCAGTAGGACAATGGGGGGAATACGAGAAATGAAACCAAGGGAGGAATGAAAAAAGGGTACAGCTGGAGATTACATAAACGAATAACGTATCGAGGGAGAAGTAGAGTGAAATTCTTAGCTTCGTACGATATCACTGAAGTCTCACCCATAAATTGAAATTCCTGGAGCCGCTAAGAGACCAGGCGATGAAAGGTGGGGTGAGTGGGTAGGACAAAGAAAGAGACGAATGAAAGAGAAAGAAAAAGATTAGAGAAAAATCCCGAGGAGAGAAAAGAAGGGCTCACAAGTACAGAGAGTACAAAATGCACAGCATCTGTTTTCTTTTGAAATGGAAATTTTGCATTTTTATATCACCAGTAGTATACATTCTCATCTTTCTTACGGAGTAATAAGGTTCGGTGTGCCTTTGGCCGGTGTGTACACTGTGTATATCTTCAGAGGCCTCCATGTGCTCTCTGTGTCTCATGTTTACGACTCTGTTATTTAGGTTTTCCGCCTTTACTCGCGGCACGAAAATTTCTTATCGAATCTCATCTGAAAACTGAGGAAATTATTTTATCCGTTGGTTGGGAGTAGGTCAGGTTATTACATTTTGATTTTTTGCTTTCAGGATGAGAAGAATCAAATTCTTACAACGAATGCGTGGCTCAAACTGGTGAGTACTCTTATGTATAGTTATTCTTTTAATCCTTCGCGATTCACACGGAAAATGGGGAATTAATTTCAATTGGAGTTGCACTGTTCATCAGGCTAGGGCTCGCGTTCTTGCGTTGGATACAAATTATTATTTTCATCACGCTGTGACGAAAAGTGAACTTTTCGGCACGCTCCGCGTGCCTAAAAGTCCAATTTCCGCCACATTGTGATGAAAAATATTGTTCGTAACTCGTGAAAAAATGTTTTTTAACTCGTGGGATTATATCACTCGCCTTCGGCTCGTGATATAAACCTCCCGCTTGCCAAAAAACACTTTTTTGCACTCGTTACGAAATATACTATTCTTGAGATAATGGAGTGTTGAAAAAAAAGAAGAAGTATTGCCCAATATTCGAATGAGAAAAATTTTGGATTTTGGAGAAAATTCAAAGAAAAAAATGAAATCGAAGGGGAAAGAATTCTTCAGGTATCACCTTAGAGAGTTAATTTTTAATAAAAACTAATTTCAATAGTGTTTTTTCGTCTTAAAATATTTCAAACACAAAAGTTTCAAACGGCATTAATCCTCTCTCGCTGAAACTGAACTTTTAATGAGATTTCATATTGAAAAATCGTTGAATCAGAGGAAAGCACCACATCAAAGGCTAATGTCCATTGAATAAACGAGATTTTCTTCCACGCGAACTAGTTATACGTATACATACCCGAGGCAATGAAAGAAGAATCTCCAAAGTTGGGTAGCATTCAAAGAAAATTGTGATGAAAGGAGTGTAGAATGTCTTGTGACACCAACGAGATCGTCTCGCCGCGGTAAAGAATGGGGATTTAGATAGTTGTGGACAAAGACGAGGACAAAGCCACGAACGGTGGTGGGGATATTGTGATTGGCGGTAACTGACATATCGAGGTTACAATCGATGTATTTAAACTGGCTTTGACGACGGAAGGAGAATCCCGGTGCTTGGCATGGAACAAAGGGGAAGACGAGTATATCGTATCCTTGAATTGTTGAAGAGAGAGAGAGAGAGAGCGCGTGAGAGAGACGGGGTACAGACATTGGATGATTTAGTCCGTAGGTTTATACCTCAGGGACACAGTATGGCCCGATCATTCGCAGAGCGCTTATCCAGAGCCAATTAAGGCTGCTCCTAACAATGCTCTGAGTCCTGGCTCACAGATGGTATATTTATCGGTGACTCAAGGAAACTCGAGGGGACTTGATCGCTTCGGCATTCGCTACAGTTACAGGCTCTATTTGCTGTGTATATTCTGGGGTTGATTGTTGCCTATTCAGAGGGTCCGAGTCATTTTACTCAAAGGGTATTATTGTTGAGAGTTTCATTACTGTCGGGAAATTGAGAAGAAATTAACTGGTGTTAGCGTTAATCCCGATCGTTTCATTGTCATCAGAATTGTTAGAAAATACAGAATGAACCTTCACTTAGCGAAAAAATTCAATTTTGGCGAAAATCGACTTTCCCCCTGAATCTTGACCCACGTGAAAAAGAAAAAATTTTTTTCGTCTGTTCTGTCACCTCCGAGGGTTTTATTGGCATCAGGGGGTCAATAAATACAGAATCAACGTTCACTTTTTTTTATTTAAACACTGCCTGCAAACGGAGAGATGAGGGTGGCTAAAATATATTCTGCAACCCTCTCTTCTCGTTGGCTACAAATTTCAACCCTTTGCATACATGCCTTCCCTTCCACCCCCTCGTGAAATCCCGAGGTCTCGGTAGTATAGTGGAGGACTTCTCAGGGCCGAAAAGAACTGAGCATTCGAAAGATCTCCGGAAAAGTACGTCGCAGAACTCATTACGACTTATCAGGTCAATCTAGGTCTGGAGAGTTCTTGAAAGACCTGTGTACGTCCCATCAGAACCAAACCCTCGACTCGGGATACTATTTTATTTTTAATGGAATTTTATCTCGGAAATATTAAATTTATTACAGATAAAATTGGTATTATTATTTTTAATATCTCGCTTTCGTTAATGGCAGTTAAATTTCTTAGCTTCGTTCTTCATTATCAGAACGATCGAATATTTTCGTTTTCAATTGCTTTACTACGGTTGAAATTACCTCTTCTGTCGTCATTTTGTATACGTTGAGACATTCGAAATTTTAGTCATCACGAATTGATTATTGTCTTGAATTAAGACGTTTCTAAAACACTCGGTTTTACAGCGCGGGTAACAGCATAATGATAAGGGTGACGAATGGCAAACCATTGAAATATATTTCCTGCCTTCACGTGCGGAAAACAATGGCAATTTATTTGGTCATACGGTAAACAGCAGTCTCAAAGTTGAAGTTGTTCTCAATGAGTAAACGAATCCCCCAGTGTACAAACAACCATAAAAAATGTTGAGAAACAATGCAATGAAATTTGGGGCTTATTCTCCAGTGTTCAACTTCTGGAAAATGATTTCGAATTATTGCCACCCGTGACAGGGAAAACCGTGTAAATGAAGGTGGGAAGATGAGTAGAAATATCAAATGTAATCGCACTGTGGGCGGGTGGAGGAGCACCAGGTGCTCGGAGTGGTGAATTTTTTGGAGTATCTGTGTGGGTGCAGGTGGATCGAATGGCGTGGGTCGTTTGCGCTGCTCTTCAGAGAATTCAACTTCCAAGGAAACCGAACATTTCCAAGTAATATCATTGATGTGCGGACATGAATTAAATGAACCGCTAAAATTATACCTGGAAAGTCACATTCGTCAGGGGAAAGTTTCTGCGAAAGCATTCGGTGGATTATTCTTCTGCCTTTGTATGTCTTTACTCCCCCATTCATTTCATTCATTATTTATACTCATTCATAATTTTTTTCTTCCATTTTATTCGGCATACTGTCTGTTGTGCTTTTCGCGTTTGATTGATTTAATGAGTTCCAATCGCTTTTAATACCTTGGAAATAAATATCAATATCGGTAATTAGCAGATGGATCTGTCTTTCTATTTATATCAGATATTGTCTCTTCCATCATTTTTATTCTCCTATTTTATTCGAAATATTATTCATCTGTTTGGTTTTTCGGATTCTTTGGGTTCAATCATTTCCAATTAGTTTTAAATTGAGATCAATATTAATTGCCAGGGGGATCCCTCCTTTATTTATTTATCTTAAGGATAGCCAAGTATCTTTACAGTTTTGAAATCATGATAATTCAGCGTTATTAAAATTGAATTTTGCACAGAATTACTATTTTTTTTAGACATTCGTTATTTATAAATAAATTATTGAAATTGTTTAAACATTAGGAAGCCTTATTTTTATTAGGCATGGAATCGATTTCTGGTAAAATTCTAAAGATGAATAAATTTGTTACGACTCTAAAGGAATTATTTTGATGGTGGAAAATTGATTATAGCTGCGAAAATTATTCCTATCATGTTGCTATTATTGCATTTTCGTAGACACTGTTTCTATAATAATATATACACGGAGAGAAATTTTCTAGAAAATTTCTAGTACGAGTACTGGAAAAAATCACAATCCACCGGCTGTGAAAAATTCTGGTACTGTTAAGGTAAAATTTCTGGGGATTACTATAAAATTGTCACAGAAAGACGAGAAAAAATTCATGTTTTCCCCAATAAAATTTCTAGTGTCGGCACTGGAATTTTTCCTGGCCGCCACTTTGCGTCTCTTTTCCCGCATCTCTTTTCTAAAAAAATTTATCTCCGTGTACTCCTCCATAATTGCCTTTTTCCCAAAGTTAAACATGATAATGACTTCTGCACGCAAAAAATTATCCACCCGTTTCGCTCTCTCCATTCAAATTGAATTGTATAAACTTGGAATCAACATTAACACTATTAATTACCAGACGAATCCCCTCCCTCCGTGAAGGGCCTTCCCTGTAAATCTCAAATACCATCTCCCCATTACCTTGAGCGATTAAACGAGAGCGTCTTCCAGTAATTAAGGGCAGATCAAAACAGCCGTAATCAGAGCCATAACAGCGCCCCCATGACCGAGGGGGAAAAATAACTGAGTTTACTCGAGACAGATATCATTGTTTTCCACCGACACTCGGCACAATAACGGGATAAATAGAGAGTTCCCCCCTGCTCTCAGTTATTTATTGTTCTCTTGATTATTTTCTCTCTAATGAAAAAGCCCGGTTTTTACGCACGTCTCCTAACAAAGCGAGAATTCGAAGCGCAGAACTGATGTTAGCTTGTTTTTGCGGTCGTTTAAGTATTCCCGCCCCGGGTTTAACATGGCAAACGGGAAGATCATGAAACTACAAATAATTCGCAATACGTAGGCAGATACGTGGGCCCTCCTCACCACCAAGTTTTGGTGAGGCAAATTACGGTGAATATATCGTCGGAGTGTGTGTGCACACATCACCAGAAAGGCGGGGGGGAGGGGGGGGAGGCACAAAGGTTCTACTATTCTCGTTGAGCTCTTAGAATTATCATAAAGCACTTATGTGCACCTGACGTACGCTCTCGAATATGACTGGATGATTCACCAACTCCAGGCGATTCTTCCGAGTCAACGATGAGCCATAAGGCCTGATCGTTATTCAGATATTCGATCGTTACTTTTATTTCCGTCGGTAAACGCCGTCCCAGAGCATCTCTGATGTCAATTCAAACACCCAGCGACGCCCATAATTTCCTGATCAATGGACAATTCGCTTTATCATGTAATTGCATCAGATTCCAGCCGAGTTTAAACTCTCGAAGTATCGCTACATGAGAATATTTTTAACCGAACTTCAGTTCAAGATTTTTAAACTGAAATATTCTACATCCGTCTGTTTTTGGTTTTTCGTGTACCTGCTTATCTCCATAGACTGAATAAGTTATCATCGGTTAATAATGAGTGTTTCTTTTATTTCAGTCAGCGACGCCCACAATTTTATGGTCAATGAGAAATTTACTTTGTCGTGTAATTTTACGTTAATGAGATCCGTTGCGCAGAAATTCTCATATAATTGCATCAAATTTCAGCCGAGTTTAAACTCTTGGAGTATTGCTAG